AACCGTGGTTGACTACGTGGGAGTCCAGCAACATAGCCATTACACTAACTGCTGGTCCCAAAGTTAAATAAAATAATTCTTTAAACAAAAACATATTTATAAAACAACCAGGAAGATTTGAACACAGACTGGGTATTTCCTATTAAGGATTTTATTGGTTTTTTTTTTTGAGAGAGTAATTTTTGCTGTAGGGCATATGCACTCACCAGGCAGAGAGAGACAGAAAGTGAGAAATCACCCCCCAGGAGGCATGGCTATGCCACAGTCCTTTCTCTTCCATTCTGTTCTTGGAATTTCTGGGCATGCACGCACACATACCCAGCATGAGTTCCAAGCCACTGGGTCTGGGACTTGAACCGTGGTCTACGTGGGAATCCAGTGATGTAACCATTACGCCATCTGCTAGTCCCTATTGTTGACTTTTAAAGATGCGATAATAGTATTGTGGTTTTTAATTTTTCTGGAGGGATTTTCTTTTTAATTTAATTAATTTATTTATATTTTAATTTGACCAGAGAGGGACAGAGTGAGAGAGAGATAGGGGGAAAGTGAGAAAGCAGCTGCAGAGGTCCAGGACTCAAACCACAGTCAGCCATGTGGGAGTCCAGTGCTCTTAACCCCTATGCCACCTGCCCTAAAAACTGTTTTATAGGAGCCAGCAGATAGTGTAGTGGTTATGTTGCTGGACTACCACATGATGTCTGCAGTTCAAATCTTTGACCCGGTACCTTGAAAATTACACCGGGCACATATGCATATGTGCTCAAGATCCTGGGAGGAGAATGGAAGAGAAGGGATTGCTGTGTGGCCATCCACCCTAGGGGATGATTTCTCACTTTCTCTCTCACTGTCTCTGTCTCTCTCAGGTGAGACACACGCCTTATGGCAAAAACGTTTTTTTAAAAAAATTTTATAGGTACCAGCAGATGGTGTGGTGGTTAAGATGTTGAACACTGGGACCAGCAGTTAGCGTAGTGGCTATGTTGCTTGACTCCCACGTAGTCGACCACAGTTCGAGTCCCAGACCTGGTGGCTTAAACTCATGCTGGGCACGTGTGCGTGCATGCTCAAGATCCTAAGAGGAGAATGGAGGAGAAGGGATTGCAGCATGGCCCTGGGGGTGATTTCTCGCTTTCTCTCTCACTGTCTCTGTCTCTCTCAGGTGAGACACACGCCTTATGGCAAAAACCTTTTTTTAAAAAAATTTTATAGGTACCAGCAGATGGTGTGGTGGTTAAGGTACTGGACACTCCCACGTAATCAACCATGGTTCGAGTCCTGGATCTGGTGGCTCGCTTTCTCACTTTCCCTCTCTCTCTTTGTATGTTTCTGTCTGGTCAAATTAAAAAATAAATGAATGAATAAATATTTTTTAAAATTATTAAAAAAAATAAGCAATTCTTTTAAAAGTTCCATCTTTTTAAAAAATTTGACCAGACAGAGACAGAGAGAGAGAGAAAGCAAGCTACCAGGTCCAGGATTCAAACCCAGGGTCAGCCATGTGATAATCCAGTGCCCTTAACCACCGTGACACCCGCCGGCCTCCCCAAAAAAATGTTTTTATATTTGAACAATAGATATATTTTTGAGCATTTAGTAGTGCAATGGTAATGCTGTCTAGGATTTACTTTAGTGATTCAGTTGGGGGGTTGGTAATGAGTGGGGATCAGATGAAATAGACTGTCCTTGGTTTGATAATACTGGTACTTGGGGGTTTGTTTTAATACTCTCTCTTCTTTTGTATATCTATTTAAGTTGCATAATGAGTTTAGAGAAGCAATTAGGGACCATTGGTCATAGGATCACAAAAATGACAAGAAAAGACAAAATCAGAGGACCTGACCCTGTGGCTTAATGGTTAAGGGAACTGGGGCCTGGCAGGTAGCATGGTGGTTAAGGGCACTGAACTCTCATGTGGCCAACCACGGTTCAATTCCCAGAACTGACAGCTTGCGTTCTCACTTTCTCTCTCTCTCTCACTTTTTCCCTCTCTCTCTCACACTGGTCAAATTAAAATAAAATATTCTTAAAAAAAAAAAGGGGGGGGGAACTGGATCCCAAATGGCTGACCATGCGATTTGAGTGCGGACACAGTGGCTTGGGAAACATGCCAGGTGCATGTGCGTCAGTGTGCAACATCCAGACAGGAGGGAGAGACAGGAGAAGGAATCGCGGAGCGACCACATCCCACGACAGGGAGTGCTTTCTCCTCCCTCCGCCTCTGCCTCTGCCTCTCGGCCAGCACGACATACATTTTCTCTCCCTCTCTCTCTCCCTCTCTCTCTCTTTCTCTCTCACACACATACACGCACACGTGCGCGTGCACACACACAACAGAAACTCCAGAGAAGAGAGCATTTCAGTTGCTGGATTTCACGCCCACGTCTGTCTCAGCTTCCCGGCTCCCCAGACTAATTCTCAGACAGGCAGATGGTAGGAGGGGGTTGGAAGGTGGAAACCAACCCCCAGGAAAACTTTCTCTCCTGAGACAAAGGTATTCCTATCTTTTTTTGTGGCGTGATGGGGTTTGGGGAGTGTGCTGGGGAAAGTCGTTATTAGGCAGGAAGGAAGAAAATCTGCAAGCCAGCAAAGTCTAGCCTCTCAGATTTCTCTGCAGGTAACTCTCTCTCCCAAAGAGCAGCTGTATGGAGAGCACGCTGTGACACAAAGCTATGTTCATACCCCTGCAATCCCGTCTCAGAAATGGTGCTTTGTTATTCTGCACACAATGCTGTCTTCTGGTCCCAGCACCCTAAGTCACTCCCAGAGAAACAGAAGTGATTGTCTGCTGTTTGCCCTGCAGGTGGGGAGGAGGGACAGGGGTAGGGTCTGAAGTTTGGCCCCTCGAACAGTTTGTTCTTCAGTTACAGAGTGGTCACCTTCCAAAGCTTCCCTGCCAGCTACTTTACCTTGTCCATATCTTAACCGCTCTGGGAAGGGACAAATAAATAAACCACCAAATCACCGTCACACAAAACATGCTGAAAATACAATTCCGAAGCATCAGAGTGATGGAGGGAAAACCCGCAGGTGTCACCTCTTTCTTTCTGGAATGATGTGTAGACATTTGCTTCCCTTCGTTTATCGCTTGGACTATGTTTTACCAGGAATATGCTTTTCAGTATTTCTCATCTAATAAAATACAAACATATCAACTGAGGGATGCATTGTAATAGGATTTGATCAAGCTGAGTGGTTAGGAATAATGCCCTTGTTTATAACCAGCAGAAAAGACATTCCAAAGCAAAGCAGAGGAGAAAAGTCTACCTGGATACTTAGAATAACTTTCAGACTTTTCATATTCCCCTTCGAATCCACATAATAATTAATTGATTATTTTGAAGGTTTTTTTTTTTTTTTCCGTCTGTTTTTCATCTTTCCTACTGTGGGTTTTCTTTCTTTTTATTGATTTTTTAAAATAATTTTTTCAAGGGAACCAGCAGTTAGCATAATGGCTATGTCTCTGGACTCCCATGTAGTCGACCGTGGTTCGCGTCCCAGACCCAGTGGCTTAAAACTCACGCCGGGCGTGTGTGCATGTGTGCCCAAGATCCTGAGAGGAGAATGGAGGAGAAGGGATTGCGGCGTGGCCATCCCCCCTGGGAGGTGATTTCTCTCTTTCTGTCTCTATGTCTCTCTTTGTCTGTCTGGCAAGCGCACACGCTCTATAGCAAAAACAAACAAACAAACAAACAAACAAACAAAAAAACCTCTTGAAAAAGAAAATAATTTTTTCAATTAAAATTTATTTATTATGACTATGTTTTTAAAGTTTGCTACAGGACATGTGCACTTGCCAGAGAGACAGAAAGAGAGAGAGTGTGAGAAAGCAAATTTGTTGGTCTGGGACTTGAACCACAGTCAGACATGTGGGAGGTCAGTGCCTAAACCAGCACACCACCAGCTGACTCCTCTTTCTTTTTATTTTTTAAAAGCCTTAACTTTTCACTGTATGTACCAATAAATGTACATATTACATATACTTTTATATGAGTGAGTAAATATAATCATATAGCTAATTATGGGTTCTGGTTTTCTATCTTTCAATTGGGTCACGGTCTCATCTTCCTTCCTCTCTTCTCTTCCCCCGAAGTGTTTCATATTATCTTTCTTGTAGGTACCCTTCATGTTTTTCTTTGATATGTACATAAGGGGGAACTTCAAAAAGTTCATGGAAAAGTTGAATTAAAGTATGAGTTTAGGGACGTATATTCTATAGGGCACACGTGCCCTATAGAAAATGCATATTATGAAAAACCTATAGATGGATTTTAGAACTTTTGCACCAAAATAAACTCATACTGGTTTTTTTTTGGAAAGGTTTTTGCTATAGGGTGCATGAGCTTGCCAGAAAGACAGACAGAGACAGAAAGTGAGAAATCACCTCCAGGGGGGATGGCCACGCCTCAATCCCTTCTCCTCCATTCTCCCTCGGGATCTTGGGCACGGACACACATGCGCCCAGTGTAAGTTTAAGACACCGAGTCCAGGACTCGACCCGTGGTTGACTGCATGGGAGTCCAGCGACATAGCCATTACACCAACTGTTGGTTCCCATAATATGCATTTTCTATGAACTTTTTGAAAGGCCCTCATATATGCTTACAAATACGAGGTCTTGTTTTGTTCCCTACAGTCTGTAGTTTGCTTTCATCACTCAACAATACCTCATAGAATGCCTCCAAGTCACCTGGTATAGCTCTCAATTTTTTTAAAAAAAGAATTGTTTATTCAATTTTATTTATTATTATTATTGGGTTTTTATTTTTTAAGGAATTTATTTATTTAACTTTATTTGTTATTATTATTTTTTTAAAAAAATTTGACCAGAGGGAGAGAAAGAGAGAGAAAGGGAAAGTGAGAAAGCAAGCTGCCAGGTCCGGACTTGAACCATGGTCGGCTATGTGGAGTCCAATGTCTCAACCACCACACTTTCTGCCAGTCCCTCAAACAGTCTTTTCAATGTCTATGTAATATTCACGGTATAGATATCATTGTTTATTTACAGATGCTCCCAACTTATGGTTGGGTTACATGCTGAGAAACACATTGTAAAGCTAAGATGCATTTTGTACAGTAACCTGCTGGACAGCATGGCTTACCCTAGCCTAACTCAAACATGCTCGGAACACTTACATTAGCCAACAGCTGGGCATAATTATCTAACACAATTAAACTATTTAGTATCTCAGAATTCAAAATATGGCTTCTACGGAATGCCTGTTGTTTTTGTACCATTGTAAAACCAAAACATCATAAGTTCAACTACCATGCATCAAATATTTATGAACATAAGAGTTCCTGTTTATGGATTTAAAAAAAAATTTTTTTTAGCTTGCTATAGGTTGCACACACTTGCCAAAGAGAGACAGGGAAAGTGAAAAATCAACCCGCAGGGAGAATGGCTATGCTACACTCTTTTCTCCTCCACTCACCCCTCAGAATTTTGGGCGTGCACTGTACACATCTGATGTGTTTATCAAGCCTCAAGGTCCAGGAATCGAACCTCTCAGTTGGCTATGAGGGGTCCAGATGCTTTAACATCCATGCCACCTGCTGGCCCTGAATGCGTATATTTCTATGGAATTGATTCCCAGGAATGAGAGGTTTAGATTGAGGGATCGCCCCTCCACTGAGAGGATGATCAATATCTCAAAGGAAAGTCTCGGCAACCCAGCAGGTAATCCCGAGTGTAATATGGCATTGCTCACCTTCCACTTTCAATTCCATGGCTGCCTCCTCTTGGTAAGAATGATCTCGGAAGAAGCAGGTGTAACCTCCTTCATCCGAGAACCTCACATTCCGGATCCTAAGGGTCACTTTCCCCTCACCAATGGAGTCTTTCAGCAGCTCGGTCCGTCCCCGATATTCAGGTGCCTGCTCTCCATCTTGGTCCTTGCCGTTTCGGTAGAGATGGACCACCCTAGAGAAGGGCGGGCGGTACCACCCCACCTCCATGCCTGTGGCGTTCTTCCCAGGGGATATGCGACAGGGCAATTCCGCTTCATCCCCGACCAGAGCCCGGATGGGGTGCCCTGGTCCTATCACTCTGAACTGTCCTGTCCAAGACACCAAAGTGAAGAGATGAGGGTTAGAGGGAACCTTGAACAACAGGCATGCCATAGGGAGGACTGCTTCAAAACAGGAAAGAAGACACCCAAAGTTTTAACATTTCAATGGACTTCTAGAGCCAGAGAGGACTGTAATTTTTCTTCATGAGCATATATATCTATATATGTGACTTCTAGAGACAGAGAGGACTGTAATTTTTCTTCTTGAGCATATATATCTATATATGTGTGTATATATATATATATATATAGGGCTGCAATCCCTTCTCCATTCTCCTCCTGGGATCTTGGGCACGCACACATATACACCCGGTGTGATTTAAGACACCAGATCCAGGACTTGAACTGTGGTTGGCCCAGTGGGAGTCCAGTGACATAACCGCTACACCATTTGCTGGCCCCAAGCATTTATTACTTTTTTTTAAGGAGAAAGAGAGCAAAGAAAAAGAACAAAGGTCCCTGGTTACAGATGAGAATCCAAGACAGAACATTCCAGCATGCCGTCATTGCAAGAGCTGCTGCCCCTCTTCCTGCCCTCTGTATCCAGCTGTTCAGTTGTGCTGCGGCATCTCGAAATGTGATCCTCACATGGGTCCCCCCTGCTAGGTCTTGGCCACATTCCCTATTCTCTTCTTAGAGGTTTTGTTTGGCCCCCTTCCCACTTCCCAGCTCTCTGTTCATGTTCACCCCGTTCTCTCATCGTCTCCTCGGGTCTCCACCCTGGGCATGGCTGTTGCACTCCTCTTTTCCCTTTGTGCCTTCAGCCTCACTGTGGCTCCCGAGCGCTCCCTGAACGCGTTCCCAGTCTCTCTCCTATGACTCTTCTCAAGTCAGACTCTGAGCCACTAGGAGGTAAGGCTGGCTTCTCCCTTAGACCTGGGAAGATTTCCCTCCTGGTGAGGAAGTGGAGGGATTGGGCCTCCTCTCAGGCGGCTCCCGGAGCTGGAAACCTGCCTTCTGATTCTTTAGCTTCTCTTCCGCACATGAGTCCAGGCCCCCCTATAAAAACTTACTGGTGCCTGATTATGCAGAACAAGCCATCAGACATGACAAGATACCGCAGTCTGAGAGACACTGACGCTGCGGCGGGGCGCAGCACATCCCATCCTACCCAGCTCTGAAAACGGCTTCAGGAGGTGGTTATTATTTTGCCCCCATTTCAGAAGCGAAAAGCCGATGATGGAGAAGACTAGTTCAAGGAGGTCCTTGAGTTAAAGTCATATTCAAGACTGGACTCC